GACTGTGTGAAGAAATGGTTGTAATTCCTACACGGTTCATACTACATTTTTGAAAAAAGCCTTAAATGAAAGCTAAGAGTCTGCACTTTAAGCACCTATTCATTGTTTCATTTAAAACCCATTGTGGTGGTGTACAGAGCCAAAATGACAACAACTGTATCATTGTCCAAATAATTATGGACCTAACTGTATAAGAACAAACATAAGAAAACATTTGTTCATATATCGTTTCCTGAATGAGGCCCAGTGTCTTTTTCATAGATGTTCTTCCTTTTCTTGTGGTTTCTTCAGGCTAAGTGGCTGTAATCTGTCAGAGAGAAGCTGTAAAGCTCTGGCGTCAGTTCTCAGCTCCCAGTCGTCTTGTCTGAGAGAGCTGGACCTGAGTGACAACAACCTGCAGGATTCAGGAGTGAAGCTGCTGGTGGCTGGATTGGGGAGTCCACACTGTACTCTGGAAACTCTCAGGTTAGGGTTCATTAAGATAGTCAGCAGATGGCCATTTATCTCTTCACTTAAAAGGCAACACAAGTATCTATAGTATCTATCTATCTATCTATCTACACTAACCAAACAAAAATTTAAACGCAGTACTTTTGTTTTTGCTTCCATTTTTCACAGGTTAAGTAAAAGATCTAAGACCTTTCTTATGCGCTCAATAGATTTATTTGTCTCAAATTTCCGTTGCAACTTTGTTCAAATCCATCTTAGTGAGCAGGTGTTTGGTCTTCTGCTAGTGTCCTTGTCACTACTGATGGAAGGCGGTATCTGCAGCCCAATCAGGTTGCACAGGTAGTCCAGCCTCTCCAGGATGGCACAGAGCAACTGTCAGACCTTGCGCTGGTGCAGAGGGCCCTGGGTTCCTCCTGGTGCAACGATACGACGTTATGTATCGGTGCATCTGACGCCGCCAAGTACAGACTGTCCAGGAGCTCACTGATGCCCTGATCCAGGTCTGGGAGGAGATCCCCCTGGACACCATCCACTGACTCATCAGGAGCATGCCCAGACGTTGTCAGGAGGTCATACAGGCACTGAGTCACATTATGAGTTGCCAATGATTTACTTTGATTTTCAGTGTGATTTTGAATCCAGTCCTCAGTGGGTCGATGATTTTGGTTCCCGCTGACTTTTGTTTCGTCATTTTGTTCTCAACAACAAATTGTACATCAGTAAAGATTTTCAATGTGAATATTTGTTCATCAAGATCTGATGTGAGATTTAAGTGTTCTCTTTTGGTGTCTTAATAGGTTGTCAGGCTGTCTGATCACAGAAGAAGGCTGTGCTTCTCTGGCCTCAGCTCTGAACGTCAACCCCTCCCATCTGAGAGAACTGGACCTGAGCTACAATCACCTCGGAGACTCAGGAGTGCAGCCTCTGACAGCTGGATTGGAGAGTCCACACTGGAGACTTGACACTCTCAGGTAGGTGGGAGGCTTGCTCTTGAAGGCTCTAGAGCTGGAAACAAAAGTGTCTGTTATACACTCACCAGCCATTTTATTAGGTACACCTTGCAGGTACCAGGTCGGACCCCATTTTTCAGTATTGATGTCATAGATTCAACAAGGTGCACCACATCCCAAAGGTGCTCTACTGGACTGAGATCTGGTGACTGTGGAGGCCACTGGAGTACAGTGAACTCATTGTCACGTTGGAGTGGCACCTGGTGTGGTCTTCTGCTGCTGTAGCCCATCTGCTTCAAGGTTGGACAAGGTGTTGTTGCTTCAGAGATGCTCTTCTGCACACCTTGGTTGGAACCAGTGCTTATTTGACTTCCTGTTGCCTTTCTATCATCTTGAACCAGTCTGGCCATTCTCCTCTGACCTCTGGCATCAACAAGGCATTTTGGCTCACTGGATATTTGCTCTTTTTGGGTATTTATTGGGTAGATATTTGCATTAACGAGCAGTTGAACAGGTGTACCTACTAAAGTGGACAGTGAGTGCATATTTCAGCCGATGTTACATTGATTAAAGGTAAATTCTTTGTTGCAGATTGTACCCTAATGGCGTCCAGTGGTTGAAACGAGTTTTCAGGAAGTGTAAGTGTATTTTCAATTTGATTCTTGAACTAAAAGCTGAACTTGTTCAGCTGTTTAGATGGAAAACTTGTCTTAAAACTGTGATGTCATTAATTTGTTTTGTTCTTTCTCTCAGATGCCCGTGACCTTAAACTCGACCCCAATACAACAAACAGACATCTCTTCCTTCTAGACAACAACACAAAGGTCATGCCATTAATTGATGAAGAGCAATATCCCGCTCATCCAGAGAGATACATCACGTGGCCCCAGTTGCGATGTAGAAACGGTCTGACTGGTCGCTGTTACTGGGAGGTTGAATGGGAAAGAGAGGTCAATATCGCCGTGACTTACAAAGATAATGATGACTGTTGGTTTGGAGGGAACGAGCGCTCCTGGAGTTTGTACTGCTGTCAAGGTGTTTACTCTGCTTTGCACAATAAAAGCAGCACACCCATAAATCCTCCCCCGAACTAGTCCTCCAACAGAGTGGGAGTGTACCTGGACTGGGCTGCTGGCACTCTGTCCTTCTACAGTGTCTCATCTGACAAAGTGATCCACCTCCACACCTTCTACACCACGTTCACTGACGTTCTTTATCCTGGGTTTGGGTTCCGCTTGGGGCCAGGCTCCTCTCTGTCTCTGTGTGCGCTGAAGGCACTGTCAAACAGAGAGTGAAGAAAGACAACTGCTGACAAGCTAATTTAAACTGTGCAAAGTTGAATTATGTCTACGTTAAAAGCTAATAACTTTACATCAATAACTACTGTTTAAAAGTTGCAATGTAAAAGAACTGACTCGTGATGAAGTCACAGAAAACTATTATTTGAGTATCCCTCAGCTCTACAGAGCATTTTTGTGACGTTATAATGCCCTATTACGTGGATTGTTCTGTTGTGCCTACCCCACACGAAGGAGCTGCAGTCCACCAGGAATTATCCACTGCCCTGTATGAGCAAGCTGCAGTTGTCCAGGAATTATCCACTGCCCTGTTAAAACAAGCACAAGTAGCAGTCGTCCAGGAATTATCCACTGCCCTGTACAAACTAGCAGGAATTATCTACTGCCCTGTATGAGCAAGCTGCAGTTGTCCAGGAATTATCCACTGCCCTGTGAAAACAAGCACAAGCAGCAGTCATCCAGAAATTATCCACTGCCCTGTGTAAACATGCACAAATAACAGTCATCCAGGAATTATCCACTGCCTGTTGTCAAAGAGCACAAGTAGCAGTTGTCCAGGAATTATCCACTGTCCTGTGCAAACTAGCAGGAATTATCACTGCCCTGTATGAGCATGCAGCAGTTGTCCAGGAATTATCCACTGCCCTCTATAAACAAACACAAGTTAAACATATGTAACTTATGTGGATTGTTATGTTGTGCCTACTCCACATGAGAGGGTGCTGCAGTCATCCAGGAATTATCCACTACACTCCATAAACAAGAACAAGTAACAGTTGTCTGGAAATTATCCATAACCCTCTATAAATAAGCACAAACTGCAGCTGTCCAGGAATTAGCCACTGCCTTGTATAAATAAAGTAAATTTGATGTTATCCAGAAATTATCCATTGCCCTGTATAAACACTGTGTAAAACTTGAAAACACTGTGAGCCTTGCCAGAGAATGAACAATCACCAATGAACAGACTAAAAAAACAGTTTTTTAAACTCTTCTTTTTGGAATATTTCCATTTTATGTTTTTACGATATGCTTTTATTCATGTTGTCTCATTGACTATATGCTAACATTTGTAGTTCAAACTCTTTTAATAAACAGTACTGTGAATTAAGGTGTTTTTTTGTTTGTTGGTTTTTTGTACGCCTAAGTGCTGGTGCCGCTGAAGAGAGAGGGGACAAATTCAGTTGTCGGGAATACAACACACTTTTAATTGAGACTTGATGCCATGGGCCAAATTTAAAAACTAAAATATAATGTCTGGGCACGTATCTAGCCCTTTCACATATTATGGTCACTTCAGAGGACAGATATTTAAACACCATTGTCTTGTATATGCCTGGGTTTTGATGCTGTAGTTACATTTAAGTCCCGAGAGTGGACCCTTGTGCGTCATGCCATACCACTGCCACCCAGTGGCCAGGTGTTGTCACCGCAACACAAATCTCTGAAAACCAAGATGGCTGACAGGATGCAAGAGATGTTATACAGCTCAAGAATACCTATATGATACTAATACTAATAATAATAAAAAAAATAATAATAATAACAATAGGTACAGAGAGCACAATCTAACTCCAAAGTCGTCGAAATCTTACGTCCAACGTACCCTGGGTGTGTTGGCTGTTGACATTCTGGGACGCCGTGTCAACTTCAGCCTGTTACATGCATTGTCTGTTTTCAAAATACACTTCTGTTTTCACAGGAAATGTACAGTTTGCATACAGTCTCTTTCAAAATAAAAGCACTACGTCAGTACAACAACGCAAACTGTCAAAACTACAAACACATGTGGTTAGGTTTCGGAAGAAAGAACAGGGTTTGGCTTTGCAGTCTTACAGGACGTGAGCACTGCTCTCTCGAGCAAAGGTTGGTGTTTGTTGGACCCCTCCACCCTGCCCTACACGGACTTCAGCCTACGATTTTTATGTCAGAACATCAACGAACACAACTGACCACTCGGTGAGTTTCATGGCTTTGAAAACGAACGTTTAGGGTGGTTTTAGGACAGGTTCACACATGGCCATAGGCAGCAGTGTTAAGCCAGGCAGGGGAAAGCAAAATTCTCCGAAAATGAGCAGTCATCACTATTTTGGTCTGTTGGTTAAAGAGTGTCCGTGTGGATCAGACTCACCTTCAGGCTGCTGTGTCTTCTGTCCTGTGTTCCTGCAGCAGCTGGAGGCTGATTGGCTTCCACCTTCGTTTACCAGATTAAAAGCAGCTGCTCTCAGACAGGAGTCCAGTCTTTTGTGTTTCCATCAAGTGGAAACTGCTGTGGTGTCATGTGAAGGAGATCTGGGACACAAACGTCCTGAGGACACTCTCAGAGAGCTCCTAACTCAGCCTAGACACTTTTAGTGAGGAGTTGTAGCTGCAGGTGTGGTTGACCCTGTTGACCCTGTTGACCCTGTTGACCCTGGGATCAGATGTGAGAGACTTTCTTTGTGTGTGTGTGTGTGTGTGTGTGTGTGTTAGGTGCTGACGCCCACCCTGATGGTGACGGCAGGTAAAGACCCGGTGCTGCTGCCGGCCTTGTCCAAAGGGATGGAGGACTTGGTGAGGAAAACAAACCATCAATCAATCAATCAGTCCTCCTCAATGACAGACAGTGTGATTATAGATTATTGGAAATGAATGCGCTGTTTCCGTTTGTGAACCGCAGATCCCGAACCTGAGACGAGGACACATAGAGGAGTGTGGACACTGGATTCAGATGGACAAGCCGGCGGAGACAAACAGCATCTTGATTTCATGGCTGAAAGAAACACTGAAGGAGGCGGCAGGCGGCGGCGTGGGCTCCAAACTGTGACAGCGCCACAGCAAAGTTGATCTCTGTCTGAACATCGCTTTCCTCTTTTACTATATAATAATCCCAAATGTAACATTTTGTTGTTTCGGACTGAAAGACGTCACCTTTGGTTGGGTAAAGTTTGATGGACATTTTCTAACATTTCTGTCGCAGTAATCAATAATTAATAAGTCAGATCAATAACAGCAGGGTAACTGATGATGAAAAATGTTGTTCTGTTAATGAACCTTGAAAACATGTTAAAGTTCTACGTCACTAAACAGCTGTGAGTGTTTATTGTAGCAGCAGGAAACACACCGAGTGACACAAGGAGACACAAAATGACAACAGAGACACGGACTGACCACAAAGAGACACAAAATGACAGTGAGATGCAAAATGACCCGAAAGAGACCCACAAGGACCCCAGAGGCATAAAATGACCCCAGAGGTATAAAATGACCCCAGAGGCATAAAATGACCCCAGAGGTATGACCACAAGGAGACACAAAATGACCCCAAAGAGACAAAATGGTCCCAGAGACCCAAAAATGACCACAAGGAGACACAAAATGACCACAAAGAGAAACACAAACTGACAACAACTAAATGCAAAATGACCCCAACGAGACAGAATGACCACAAGGAGACAAAATGGTCCCAGAGACCCAAAAATGACCAAAAAGAGATCCAAAATGACCACAAGGAGACAAAATGACCACAAGGAGACAAAATGGCCCCACAGACACAACAATGACCACAAGGACGCACTAAATGATCACAAAGAGAAACACAAACTGACAACTAAATGCAAAATGACTGCAAAGAGACCCAAAATTACCCAAAAGAGACAAAATGGCCCCAGAGACCCAAAAATGACCCCAAGGAGACATAAAATGACCCCAAGGAGACATAAAATGACCACAAAGAGACAAAATGGCCCCAGAGACCAGACAATGACCCCAAGGAGACACAAAATGACTCCAAAGAGAAACACAAACTGACAACTAGATGCAAAATGACCCGAAAGAGACCCACAAGGAACCCAGAGACATAAAATGATCCCAGAGGCATAAAATGACCCCAGAGGTATGACCACAAGGAGACACAAAATGACCACAAGGAGAAACACAAACTGACAACAACTAGATGCAAAATGACCACAAGGAGACACAAAATGACCCCAAAGAGACAAAATGGTCCCAGAGACCCAAAAATGACCACAAGGAGACACTAAATGACCACAAGGAGACAAAATGACCACAAGGAGACCCAAAATGACCCCAAAGAGAAACACAAACTGACAACAACTAAATGCAAAATGACCCCAACGAGACAAATGACCACAAGGAGACAAAATGGTCCCAGAGACCCAAAAATGACCACAAGGAGACACAAAATGACCAAAAAGAGACCTAAAATGACCACAAGGAGACACTAAATGACCACAAGGAGACAAAATGGCCCCAGAGACCCAAAATGACCCCAAGGAGACACAAAATGACCCCAGAGAGAAACACAAACTGACAACTAAATGCAAAAAGACCCCAAAGAGACAAAATGGTCCCACAGACCCAACAATGACCACAAGGAGACCCAAAATGACAACAAGAAGATGCAAAATGACCCCAACGAGACCCACTAGATCATATAAAAAAGAGCAAGGGAGACAAAACTGTTTTCTCACTTGAGCTCCACAGAATCATACCTGGACATTGTCCCCAGTTTGTCCTTTACACTTGTAGCCCACAACAAGAGACTGTTCGTGTTAGGAGTGTTCTCACCTCCTGAAAATACTCCTGACAGATGTTTGGGTTTGGTGACATTTTGACATTTCACTGCAGAGATTTGGGAAAAACAAACTGAGGCGGAGAGTCAAATTTTATGACCGACAGTCATGATGGACAAAAATATGAGAATAAGGCTCAGATTTATTCAACTGGTCTGGAAATGCAGACAAAGCTTTATGTGACTGGAGGTTTAAATAAGAAAAAAGACAACAAAACAAATACTCCAATATTAAGAAGAGGAACATAGTGAGATGGGAAAATGATGTAAGAAATTATAGATAAAAACTGAATAAACCCTTTGTAACCTGAAGCGACGTCACTTTTCTTGAGCTGCTTTCAGACTGCTTTGAGACTTTCTATCTCAAGAACAAAGTAAATATTTAGCAAAAAAGTCACAATAAAGTCATTAAGAGCTCATATTACAACTTTTTCTTGTAATATATGAATTTTTCCTCTGAATAATGACTTTTAAAATATTGTTTTTACTCAAATTTTCACGTCAATATACATTAAATATCTGGTTCTTCCTCTTAATGCAGGACCATTTTCCTTGAAGTCAGAACAATGTTGCCCTCTGGTGGTCGAGATGAGAACTGAATGTAAAGCATTGTTCAGAGTTTTTTCTCCTCAAACAGCTTCTTCCAGGCCGGCATGATGTGTTCATAAATTCTCTCGATCTGTAACACACAAACACAAACATATGTCAGGTGGTCAACACACGTTTAAACAAACAATGTCCTGCAGGAGTGAAAGTCTCTGCGTTTCAAGGGGTTAAGATTCACGAAAAGTTTTCTTCATCGTTCCAACTTCCAACCTCCACAGACACACACAGGTTTAACCAGCCTGCTTATTCATTCAGTTATAGGTGAATTCAGTGTGTCATAGATCATATTAACAGACTGGAGTTTATGAGAGATAAACAGTTTTTGCGTCTAAATGTTGGTCATTTTGCTTTAAATCCTCGCTCAACATTTTAATACGATGATTAAGATGAGCGAGTACACCATTATCTGTATCTGTTCAACCAACTAAATTAACTGTATGCATATCTGTAATCGGAAGGGGCGGGGCTGGAACAGGAAGTGGGCCGTATTTAAACTGAAAGTTGATGTTTTAAGCTTGAAATTGACATGAGTTGGGTCAACATTTTTTGGACATTTAATCAACTATTTTTGACATTTTATTAACTTTTTTTCCTAAGCTTTTAATAATATTTTCAGACATTTTATCAACTATTTTTGGACATTTATTACCATTTTTTGAGACATTTTATGAACATTTTTTAGACATTTTATCGGACATTTTGTCAACTATTTTTGGACATTTTATTAATATTTTTTTTTGGACATTTTATTCACTTTTTTTCTAAGCTTTTAATAATATTTTCAGACATTTTGTCAACATTTTATCAATGTTTTTTTGACATTTTATCAACTTTTTTTCTAAGCTTTTGATAATATTTTCAGACATTTTATCAGCTACTTTTGGACATTTATTACCATTTTTTGGGACATTTTATGAACATTTTTTTAGACATTTTATTAACATTTTATCGGACATTTGATGAACTTTTTTTTCAACCTTTTAATAATATTTCAGACATTTTGTCAACTATTTTTGGACATTTTATTAATATTTTTTTCTGACCTTTTAATCATATTTTATGGGCATTTTATCAACATCTTTTGGACATTTCATTAATCTTTTTTTAAGCTTTTAATAATATTTTTCAGACATCTTATTAACATTTTATTGGACATTTTATTGACTTTTAACCTTTTAATAATATGTCAATATGTCAACTGTTTTTCGGACATTTCATTCTTTTTTTTTTTTAATTGATATTTTTTGGACATTTTATTCACTATTTTTCTAAGCTATTAATAATATTTTCAGACATTTTATTAACATTTTATCAACTTTTTTTTTGACATTTTATCAACTTTTTTAGGACATTTTATTAATACTTCTCAGTTTTTTATAAACATTTTTTAGACATTTTATTAACTATTTTTGGACATTTTATTAACTTTTTTGGACATTTTATTAATATTTTTCAATTATTTTATTAACATTTTTTTTAACATTTTATCAATATGTTTTTAGACATTTTAATAATATTTTTCAGACATTTTATTGATATTTTATCGGACATCTGATGAACTTGTTTTTCAACCTTTTAAAAATATTTCAGACATTTTATTATTATTTTTTGGACATTTTATCAACATTGTTTTGGGCAAATTTCAATATGACAACTTTGACCATTCCATTAGTTTTTACTGTCTCTTTGGGATGACAGACACTTTTAGTAGCGTGGATCTTTAAGTGTTTATATATATTAAGTTATATAAAAACTGTTTTTTCTTGCAGCTCAGAACAGACAGCACAAATTATTAGTTTCTCAAAAGTATATCATTTCAACATAAACAACAACTGTCATCATCCTCCGTCCACTGACCTGTTCAGACTTTTTGACTCCGTATCTGAAAAGCGTAGCCTGGTGCTCGCTGTTATGAAACAGGATATCGAACGTCACCTCACGCCCCATCATGTCATCGATGGCCGGCTTCACCACCGTGTGAAAGTCCCGGGCCGAGAACAAGTCGTCCAGCATGTTGCTGACCTGCGGCGTGTTGAAGGCAGATTCATCAGGACCACAAAGGCTTTGACATTATTACAGTAATACATGATATTTGAGTAGATTATTATTCGTCGTCTATGAGTAAGTTGACCTTGTATTTTTTCCCCAGCAGCTCCAGTGGATCCAGTTTGACCTCTGACCTCAGAGCGCGGCCAAAGAGCGGCAGCTTGGAGTCTGAATCTGACCAAAAAAATAAAGAAATTGCATTCAAGAGAATGAGACAGATACATGTTCAAAGTAACCTTGACTTTTAATCACTAAAATTTAATCAGCAAATTGTTGAGTAAAATCAGTCCAACAGGAAAACACCAACCTCGAGATGTCAGGTGGGCGACGTAAGGAACTCCATCCCTCTCTCCGTAGTACACTGCAAAATGAGAGAAGTATTTGTTCCTGCGATACTCCACGATGTCCCCCGGGAACAACTGGGGGTTAGAATGTTTCTGCGGAGACAACAAAGTGATTATCAATTTAATAATACCACAGAAAGAGTCAAGTTCCTCTCACAGTTTACATCATGTCATGTCTGATTTCAAGGCCTTATTGCGACATGGTGTCCATGAGAATGAGAGGGACGCAAGGTGACAGTAACCTTGACCTTTGATAACCAAAATCTGATCAGTTCATCACTGAGTTCAAGTGGATTTTGTGCCAAATTTGATAAAATTCTTTCAAGACCTTCTCAAGTTATCACTCTCACGAGGATGAGACAGACATGAGGTCACAGTAACCTTGACCTGTGACCACCAAAATCTAATAAAGTCATGGTTCAGTCCAAGCGAACATTTGTGCCAAATTTGAGGAAATCTCCTCAAGGCCCTCTTGAGATATCTGTGGAACACCTTGAGGAAGGTTCCTCAAATTTGGCACAAACGTCCACTTGTACTTAACGATGATCTGATTATTAAATTCAGTGGTCAGTGGTCACTGTGACCCCGTCAGTTGTATTCTCATGATTTGATATCTCCAAATCACCTTCAAGAATTTTTTTTTTTAATTTGGCAAAAACACCCCCTTTGAGTCAAAGACATACTGGTTACAATTTAGTGGTCAAAGGTCAAGGTCACTGTGACCTTGTGTCCATCTCTTTCTTGTAAATGCTGTATCTCAAGAACACCTTTGGGAATGTCTTCAAATTTGGCACAAACATCCACTTGGACTCAGTGATTACTGATTATATTATTGTGGTCAAAGATCACTGTGACCTTGCATCCATCTCATTCACAGGAGTGCCATATCCAAATAAAACCTTAAGTGAGTGTGAACGCGATATCTCAAGAACACCTTCGGGAATGTCTTCAAATTTTGCACAAACATCCACTTGGACTCAGTGATTACTGATTACATTTTGTGGTCAAAGGTCACTGTGACCTTGCATCCATCTCATTCTCAGGAGTGCCATATCAAAATAAAACTTTGAGTGTGAACGTGATATTTCAAGAACACCTTCGGGAATGTCTACAAATTTGGCACAAACATCCACTTGGACTCAGTGATTACTGATTATATTATTGTGGTCAAAGGTCACTGTGACCTTGCATCCATCTCATTCTCAGGAGTGCCATATCAAAATAAAACTTTAAGTGAGTGTGAACGTGATATCTCAAGAACACCTTCGGGAATGTCTTCAAATTTGGCACAAACATCAACTTGGACTCAGTGATTACTGATTACATTTTGTGGTCAAAGGTCACTGTGACCTTGCATCCATCTCATTCTCAGGAGTGCCATATCAAAATAAAACTTTGAGTGTGAACGTGATATTTCAAGAACACCTTCGGGAATGTCTACAAATTTGGCACAAACATCCACTTGGACTCAGTGATTACTGATTACATTTTTGTGGTCAAAGGTCACTGTGACCTTGCATCCATCTCATTCTCAGGAGTGCCATATCAAAATAAAACTGAGTGTGAACGTGATATCTCAAGAACACCTTCGGGAATGTCTTCAAATTTGGCACAAACATCCACTTGGACTCAGTGATTACTGATTACATTTTGTGGTCAAAGGTCACTGTGACCTTGCATCCATCTCATTCTCAGGAGTGCCATATCAAAATAAAACTTTGAGTGTGAACGTGATATTTCAAGAACACCTTCGGGAATGTCTACAAATTTGGCACAAACATCCACTTGGACTCAGTGATTACTGATTACATTTTTGTGGTCAAAGGTCACTGTGACCTTGCATCCATCTCATTCTCAGGAGTGCCATATCAAAATAAACCTTAAGTGAGTGTGAACGTGATATCTCAAGAATGCCTCGAGAGAATTTCTTCAAATTTGGCACAAACATCCACTTGGACTCATATGAATTTGGTGGTGAAAGTTCAAAGACACTGTGAACCTGTCTGTCGCATTCTCATGAACGCTGTACCTCAAAATCAGCTTGAAGGAATTTCTTCAAATTTGGCACAAATGTCCACCTGGACTCAGAGGTCAGGGTAAGTGACGCCTCAGAAACACGTTTTCGGCCATAACTCAAGAATTCCTACATTAATTATGACAAAACTTCACACAAATGTCTAACAGGATGAAATAATGAAGTGATGACATTTTATATCCAAAAGGTCAGAGGTCAGCTTCACTGTGACATCATCATGTTCAGCATAGAACACTTTTCTGTCCATTATTCAACGTCTTATCAGAGCTGTAAGAGGAACGTGACGGGGTTGTGCAAGCGTACAACCATAAAACCACGAAGACAGCTGTTACAATTTTAAACTTGATGTTTCCAAGCATTAAAATCTAAATGTTAATCAATGAATTTTGATAAAAAATACTTTTTTTGTTTACAGCGTTTGAACAACCCTTTTGGTGCTCTCTAAGAGCTAAAAATACAACACGTCTGTGATTTATCACATCTCCACAGTACAAACTTTGTTCTTATTATCTGCACTTATGTCGTTGACAAAACTCTAAATTAAATTAACTTTTTATGAAAAGAAGAAATCATATTTCATGCCGTACTCACCAGGCCCATGGGTTTAGGTATTTACTGCAGCTTTCTTCAGTCGTTTCTGAAATTAAATCCACAACACACATACACACACAGGAACTCTTATCTGCTTTACATACGGCTGCACTGATGTGACACTTAAAAGATCACTAGTCTGTCACGGTCACAGTCCACTGACCTCACTCCCATCACCCTTCATCACACCTACGCATCATCACAATCTCTTCAGACTTCATTCTGTGGTGTCTTAGCTTCACTTCAGGTGTCTCTTTGAAGGTCGGGGTGATTTTTTTGGGGACATTCTGCACGTTTTTTTTTACATCAGGGACCACCATGAGTCCCTCAGTGTCGTTGTCCCTCCACCTCTGGGTGTGTGCAGCAGGTGTTTCCTAAACAGAGAATATGAAAAGAGGAAGTAGCTTCAACGCAGCGTTAATCAGACGTGTTTTATTAGAGATGTGAAGGCACTGTGAGCAACACACCCGCCAGCCTCACTGTGGAGACACGTTTGTGTTTCTGTCTGTGCAGGCTCCACCAAAATACAAAGAGTGAGCTTCAGAGTCCTTAAACTTTGTACAGAGCCAGGCTAGCTGTTTCCCCCCGCTCCCAGCCTTTATGCTAAGCTAGGCTAATCCTAAATGTACAGAGGCCGAGAATGGCTGTGGTTGCAATCATTTTTAATGTCATAGAAGCAAATAAGAAACATCAATACTTGAATCTGGACGGCCAATGAATACTAACTTTTTGACATTTAAAACCACTACATTCGTCACATTAAAAGAAATTACTTTAAAAACCATGTATCTCTCTTTGTTTTGAATTCACCTTTGAAATTATCAAATTAAATTTCTTGATTTGCAATTTCAAAAACTAAATTCAATTTATGTTTCAATGTCTGCAAATTCCGATCCAAAAATTTAAGTTTCGTAATTTAAAAAAATAATAGATTCAGGTTTCTAAAATTCAGTTGGTTAAATTTAAACCAAAGAATTTAAGTTTCAGAAATGAAAAAAAAAGTACATTCAGACTGCTCAAATTCAATTGAGCTTAAAAAAAAAAATTTCATTTCAGAATTTAAAAAATTAGAACAGAAAAGTAGATTGAGGTTGCTCAAAATTTCATCGGACAAATTCAAATCTTAAAATTTAGGTTTCAGAATTTTTTTAAAAAGTTGATTCTGACTGCTCAGTTTCGATAATTTAAAAAAAAATAGAAAAGATGAAAAAGAAAAAAGATTCAGATTACTCAAATTCCATTGAGCTTCATTTAGGCTGCTCAAAAAAAAAAAGAAGAGGTTATTCAAATTTCATCAGACAAATTCAAATCTTAAAATGTAGGTTTCAGAATTTGTTTTTAAAAAAAGTCGATTCCGACTGCTCAGTTTCGATTAGTTTTTTTTTTTAAATAGAAAAAGACGAAAAAGAAAAAAGATTCAGATTGCTCAAAAAAATGGTCAAATTCACATCCAAAAATTTCAGAATTCAAAAAATGAAAATAAAAATAAATAAAGTAGATTGAGGTTGCTCAAATTTAGACCCCCAAAATTAAAGAAAACAAAACAAAACAAACAAAAAAACCAACAAAAAACAGAATTTTAAAATCTGAATATTCAAGTTGAAAATTCCAATAGAACATCAGTCAATTTTGATTGTGCGAAACATTAAGGCTTGATTGCCAAACCTGTCTTGGAATATTTTCAACTTGAATTTTTAGACCTGAATCTATATTTATTTTCCATTTTACTTTGTTTTAAATTAAGAGACGTTCATTTCTGGATATGAATTTGTAAACATTGAAAATAAATAAAATTCAGCTTTTGAAATGGCAAATCGAGAAATGTCATATTTTAGTTTTAAAAGATGAAATCACCACAAATAAATTGAGACGCATGGTTTTGAGGTAAAATACTTCAACGCTATACTTCAATATTCAGTGGCTGTTCAAATTCAAATATTCACGTCTCCTATTTGCTTCCATACAGGCTCCTTTTCTTGTGATAACTGGTTAATTCATCACATTCTATGCCTGCGAATATAAATAAAAAGTGGAACGACCTCCTGTTATCTCCAGAAAACAGTAATTAAGTTGTGATATTGAAAGCTTGATGAATTTAGTTTTCACATTTAGATTTCAAAATGAGAGACAGCTACTTTATTTTGTAGCTTATTAAACACGCAAATGATAATTACCAGCCACTTTATTGGGGACACCATGCTGGTACCAGGTGGGACGCCTTTTTTAATTCTTGGTGTCATAGATTCAACGAGATTTTGGTCCATATTGACATGATGACATCACACAGTTGATCCATGATGAGAATCTCCCATTCCACCACAGGTGTAACTAATAAAGTGTCCGGTGAGTGTAAAATAGTAATTAAGACCTTTTTTTAAATTCAGAGAGGCTGATTTTCACTAAATCTGGGCTGAAACAAGCGACAGCATCGTCTGAGTTACTGAGAGAAAAGATCAGACGCATTGTCAGGATTCAAAGTCTTTAAATTCCAGGATATTTCACGCTACACATAAAAAAAAATCTGGTGCCAAGACCAACAAAATAAAGGCATGAAATTCTTGCAGAACAGCAGCATCTGTTTGATTCTGACTCGTTTGGACAGCGGGGCTCCTGAGCACCTCCATTTTACAATCTCTCATTGTCCAGCCTGAAACGTCCTTAACTAACGTCATGGTTAACTTCATTTTGAACAGGTAGGAATTATGAGTTACTAAGTCACTCGGACGTTGTTTGCCACACATACTCACACTTGTTATTAAACTAACTGACTTTCGGTTTTCAGGAGACGGAAAACGCTCTCCTGGGATCTGACGAGTCAGGTGAGGCCATGTTGGCTGGTAGGAACATTTCAAATGATATAGCTGAAGCAGCACAGGAACCCCGCTGATAAACTGAGCCCGATCATTTCCTGGATTAAATTACAAAATCAACTTAAAGCTTGTGAGATAATGATCCGCCCTGCTAGTATGAAAGAAAAACAATCCAGCCACATTTAGAAAATATAGATCATCTGTCGAGGAGAAAAATAAACGTTTGGATTCAGCAGATTCAGATCGGCTTCATGACACACAGTTAGAAAACGTCACATTCTGACAGACCAGACGTCTGTGGACTGCATTTACTGAAGGAAGGAGGGACCACACCTCCTCTGATTCAACGTGTGTGTGTGTGATGTGAGTGTGTACACACCACACACACCACACACACATATTAATGCCCCATTATAAAGTCAGTGCAGCGGTGAAGTCGTTCAGTCTGTTAAAGGCACCTGAGTTTAGCTCCAACCTGAGCTGGAGGTTCACCAGTGTATACAACACACACACACACACACACACACACACACACACAGACTCACACAGACTCATACACACACACACACAGTATCTAAGTGTGTCCCTGACTCGGGCTCTCCTGAGTGTCTCTGCCCCAGCTGAGGCCGTTAATGGGCGCGTGTTTGTCCCAGCTGTCCGTGTTGTGCCCGTGTTTCCTCTGGTGGCGCTTGTAGTTGTCCCAGTGGCCCGTGGTGTAGTCGCACTCGGCGCAGGCGTACGGCTTCTCGCCTGTGTGCCGCAGCATGTGCCTCTTCAGGTTCATGCTCTGGTTGCAGGAGTAGCCGCAGACGCCGCAGTGGAACGGCTTGGCGCCCGAGTGGATGCGCTCATGCCGCCGCAGGTTGGCCAGGTTGCCGCAGGCGTAGCTGCATGATGGGCACTGGTAGGGCTTCTCGCCCGTGTGCACGCGAAGGTGGCGCTTGAGGTTGTCAAGGTGCGAGGAGGTGTAGGGGCAGTGCGGGCAGCGGTGGGGTTTCTCCTCGGAGTGGGTGTGGGCGTGGCGGGCCAGGTGGTTGGGGTAGTGGGACAGGAAGGGGCAGTGAGGGCAGTGGTACAGCTTGGTGCCACGCTGACCGCGCCGGGATCCCCGAGGCCCGGATTCATCTTTGGAGAGCAGGTCCAACGAGCAGCGACGACACACCTGAATATGAACACAGAGGACACGGTCAGAGGTGCTGCTGAGGACGGAGGAAACACGTCGTCCTCACTTTGACAGCAGACGACAGAAGAGTTGATAAAAATGTGCAAACACTCGTCTACGTGACGAGTTAAGATATGAATAATTAACACAGCCTTTATTGATGTTGGAACTAACATGTGTAGCTAGCGTAGCTTAGCTAGTGTTAACATGTTATCAGACAGGATGCTGTATATTATTACCATACATTGGGAAAAAAACGCCACTTTGGGAAAGTGGAAGTCTGTGGTCGTCTCATAGAGTAGTCACTATGAAAAACAAACACATTGTACAAAGTAGATGTTTGTGCCAAATTTTAAAAACTTCTCTCCAGGTCCTCTTGAGATATGGTGTTCAAGAGAATGAGACAGTCACAAGGTCACAGTGACATTTGACCACCGATTTCTAATCAGTTCAGCGTTAAGTCCAAGTGAATGTTTGTGCCAAATTTTTAAAAAGTTCCCTCAAGGTGTTCTTGAGATATCGGGTTTACAATAATGAGATAGACAAGGTCACAGTGGACTTTGACCTACGACCACCAAAATCTATTTAGTACACAATTGATTCCAGGAGGACATTTGTGCCAAATGTTAACAGTAAGCTTGACTTTTAAGCCCCAAAATCTAATTAGCTAATTGTTGAGCCCAAGTGGACAAAGATATTCCCTCAAGGTGTTCTGAAGACATCGTTCTCCCCAGAATCAGACAGACAAGGTCACAATGACCTTGATCTGTGATCTATGGCCACAAAATCTAAGCAGTTCATAGTTAAATCCAAACAGACTTTTATGCCAAATTTTAAGAAATTGCCTCAAGGTGTTCTTGAGATATCACGTTCACGAAAATAAGACGGACACATGATCACAGTAACTTAGACTTTTAATGACCAAAATCTAATTCGCTAATTGTTGAGCCCAAGTGGACGTTTGTGCCAAATTTGAAGAAATCCCCTCACCGTGTTCTTAAGATATCGCATTCACAATAATGAGACAAATGTGAAGTCACAGTGACCGCTGACCACCTAATTCTAGTCAGGCTAGTCATCCTTGACTGAAATGAGATGTTTGTGCCAAATTCGGAGATCGTTCTCCTTAGAATGAGACAGACAAGGTCACAATGACCTTGACCTTTGATCTATGGTCACAAAAATCTGAGCAGTTCATAGTTTAGTCCAGACGGACATTCATGCCAAATTTAAGAAATTCTCTCCAGGTATTCTTGATATATCATGTTCAAGACAATGACACGTGTCCTTGAGATATCACATTTAAAAAAATGAGACAAATGTGAAGTCACAGTGACCGCTGACCACCAAATTCTAGTCAGTCTCGTCAACCTTGAATCAAAGGAGACATTTGTGCTGAATTCGGAGACATTCTCTCCAGGTGGTCTTGATATATCATGTTCAAGAGAATGAGACAGTGACATTTGAACACCAATTTCTAGTCAGTCCATCGTTGAGTCCAAGTGAAAGTTCGTGCCAAATATAGAAAAATTCCCACAACGTGTTCTTGAGATATCGCTTTCACAAAAATGAGATAGACGAGGTTACAGTGACCTTTGACCACCAAATTATGGTCATCCTAGTTATCCTTGTCTCAATGGAGATGTTTGTGCCAAATTTAGAGATTGTTCTCCCCAGAATGTGACAGACAAGGTCACAATGACCTTGACCTTTGATCTATGGTCACAAAAATCTAAGCAATTCGTGCCAAATATGGACGAACCCTCAACGTGTTCTTGAAATATCGCTTTCCAAAAAAAGAGATTGACGAGGTTACAGTGACCTTTGACCACCAAATTCTTATTCTTGACTCAAAGTAGACGTTTGTGCCAAATCTGAAGAAAATTCCCTCACGGTGCTCTTGCGACGACGGATTTTAATTAGCTTAAAGAAGCTGTTCATCTCCCTGTCAAATAAACTAATCAAATAAATATTGTCTGGAAGCGTACCTGTCCTCCGTCGCCCTCCACCTCCCCCTCGGCCTTGTCCCCCTCCAGGTCGGCCTCCTCCAGGGTGAGGCCACACATCCGGCAGCACAGGGGGAAGAGCAGGACGGGGAGCGGGGCGGAGGGAGAGCCGAGGCCCCCCAACGTCTGGAGGTAACCTGAGTTCTGGGACACTCGCAGGGTCAGGTCTGATACGACTGTGGGAACAAGATCAAGAGAGAACATATTCTTTCATTTGAAAGCATGAGAAAACCTCCCTCAGAAAAGAAAAGAGTCACACTGCAGTGTTTACTGATAATAAGAAACTAATCCTCCAGCTTCAGCTCAAACTTCCTCATTCTACTTCTTCTTCTATACTTGTCTTTAAATATAAAAATCCCTCCTGGTTCTCATTTCCTGCGATGCTCTGACTTCCTCACTGGCACCTTCATCAGTCTGAGTTTGACTTGTTTCTCAGGTATTCGGGATGATTATCAGCTTCACACACGTAAGAATGTTGTGAAGCAGCTGAACTCAGCAGAGCTAAGTTTCAGGGCGACAGGCACTCAACCACGGCGATCTTCTCTTCCTCATTTTTCAAACCCGTTCAGTTTCGACTCGCTGGTTCCTCTTTTCTGATCACTGCTTCCAACATTAGGATTTTCCCCTGCAGGCTAAAAATAAAAACTAGAATTACCACCACATGGTCGAGTTCTCTCTCAGTGAAAACATGGACGCGCCACACACAGGAGATCTATACAAATGTCTCCCCTTCTGTTCTTGAGATATTACATTAAAACATGATGTCACAGTGAAGCTGACCTTTGACCTTTTGACCTTCATCATTTTATCCTGTTGACTGCTTTGTGTGATTGTTTAAAGCAGGCGTTTGTACCTTCTTCACTTTCAGCTTTTTTCCGTCTCCCCCGTCGTTTCTCCTTCTCTCTCCTCTGCGGCCTCTCCTGCGTGTGCATGCGCTGGTGCCTCCGCAGGTTGCCGAGCGAGCTGCAGGCGTAGCTGCACTGGACGCAGCGGTACGGCTTCTCCCCGGTGTGGGTGCGGGCGTGGCGCTGCAGGTTGACGAGCTGCGCCGAGGCATAGGGGCAGACGGGGCAGTGGTACGGCTTCTGGCCGTCGTGGGTCCTCATGTGGCGCTTCAGGTGGTTCGAGTAGCGCGAGGTGAAGGCGCACAGCGAGCAGGAGTACAGTTTGGGAGGGGCATCGGTGGCTCTGCCTGTCTTGCCTGCGCCTCTCCTCTTCCTGTCTGAGTCGCCACCGATGGTTCTGTAGGCCTCGATCGAGCCCTCCGCCTGAGAGGAGTCGATCGAGGCTTCCTGCTGGAGGCCTTCCTCACAGGTGAGACAGTAAAGCTCCGCCCCCAGGTCCAAGCCCACACCTGGAACAAAGTAAATCACATTTATGGGTGTCATTACTTATAATAACCCACCAATGTTCAAACCCTGACAACTCTGAATCTATGCCATGTCACCCAACTCTCCAAGCTTTGTCTGTGACGTTTTTTTGCCTAAAATTACGAGTTAAATCTCAAAATATTTCCATTTTATTTTCGTAGATTATGACTTTATTCTCATGGATTTATGAGCGAGGACTCTAGTCTGAGGACTCTAGAGAGAAACAGAGTGAGACGGGCACAACGTTTACCGAGATCTAAACCTGCCCCCAGCGGCGTGTCTCCCAGCAGCTGACCGCACCCTTTACAGGAGAGGAAAGCTGGGAAGGTGGAGTCCGTTGGTGCGGAGGGGTCGTCCTCCACGCTCAGAGAGAACACCGTCATACCTGAGGAAGAACAGAAATCAGTCACATGTGGAGATAAGAGGTGCTCAGACTGCAGCTGTTACTCTCCATTAAAACACGACCCCTGCTTTCCCGTCCCGTGTTACACTGAGGCCGACAGACATGTGGAAGGCACACACGTTTAATAACAGCCCTTGCAGAGCAGGTCTGACAGAGGCCCGGGGGAGGACACGTCCTGTTTGCTCCTCTTTATTTGCTTCTTAACAAGACCAGTCAGGTTTGGCAGGACTCTACAGTTTGGTTACACCTTTGATTTAAGTCACTAACACTGCGCTCACATGGAGTCAGACAAAACAACTAAGCAACCAATGAAATCTTGCTGACTAAGAGTAGCACCCAGCGCCCGATGTCATGTCCTCAAGGCGTATGTCCTGCCCCCAGAGGAACATTTAATTGAATGATTATATTGAAGTCAGGTGTTGGTGGTCTTAAGTCTTACAGCTGGACTGAAAGGTTTCTTGTCAAAATTTTCCAGTATTTGTTACCTACTCCTTAACATACTACATGATGCGATATATGTGTGTGTGTGTGTGTGTGTGTGTGTGTGTGTCACTGACCCGACTCTCTGTCCAGCCCCATGATCTCAGAGTCTCCAAACTCCAGCTCTCCGCTCAGCAGGAAGTCGCTCTCCAGAACCAGGCAGCCCGGCTCGCACACCACCGCCCCGTCCTCCGAGTCCACTGAGCACAGACATGAACACGGATTAAGGCCTAATCCCAATACCCCCTCTTGCCCACTCCCCCCTTGGCCCTCAAAATGAAGCAACGAGGGGTAGGGGTTGAAATCTTTCCCTAGGAATTGGGACACCACTCACTACGTCAATGCGTAACTATTTTAAACAGGAAGCTCCGAGCCATCTACATTTCCAACCGGCATCTACAATGGAGTCTCCGGTTGAGTTCATCCTACCGATCACGTTTGCCGCATTCAAAATGCTTCGTTTGACAAACGACAGACGATGAAATGATACGTACGAAAAGGGACTTCTGCTAGCTAGCTACGCAGCTAACCAGCTGACATTATGAGGCAGCATAGTTATACTAGCTGGCGTGTTATCTTAATGTGAAAACTCCGACAATATTGCAGAACAGGGCAGATGACAGACGTCAGATAGTGCGAGCTAGCTAGCTAGCTAACAAGCAACCTGACGACGATAACGTTAGCTACGTATGAACTTTTTTCCCTGTCTCTTGCTTGGTGGTAGCCATGGCGACGTCTACCCCTCGCTGGCAAGTCAGCATCTGAAATCCCTCGCTCCGAAGGGCTAGTTTCATACCCACTACCCCTCGTTATGCCCCCTACCCCTACACGCAAAAAGGAATTGGGACACCCCTAACCCTCATGGGAACGTGCAAATCTAGGGGTAGGGCCAAGGGGGGTATCGGGACGGGCCTAAACACACTCCCACACACTTCATCAGAGCAGTAAGTCTGGTTCAAACTGTACATATAAGCATCAACTACTATGACCTTTTGTTTGGCTGTGACGAAAAGTTAAACATCCTGGACAGAAGTGAAGAGAAGAAGACGGACACGAGAGTAGAGGAGGCGGAGGAGGAAGCCAGAGAGCAGAGTGAGGAGAAGAGGAGAGGACGACGAGCAGAGGAAATCAGTGAGGATGAGATAAGTGCAGAGGAGGAAGAGTTGGAGGCTGAGAGAGTCAGGAAAAGGAAGAGCGATGAAAGGGAGACAACACAGCCCTGACGATCTGTAATGACTTTTCCCCAGTCCTTTATTTTCAAGTGGAGCATGAAGAGTCCCTAAAGGCAAAAGCTGAGTGACACCTGCTTTGTGCAGAGCCAGGTGATTTTTGGGAAGGGCTGTAGTGACACACTCTGAAGACAAAGCAGAGATAAAAACTGATGTGAGAGCGCACATGTTAGAAAAAAAAAGGAAGGGAATGACAGAGAGAGAGAAGTCAAACAGGAAGCGATGGAAGAAAGAGAGGAAGAGGAGAGGAGGGAGGTCAGGCAGGGGCCTGCGAAGAGGAAGTGGAGACAGGAGGCTGAGAGGAGGAAGAGAGGAAGTCCAGCTGAGCCAAAACATTCAGGATGAGATAACACACAAACACATCCACTCAAAGGAAGACACGTCTCTCACAGTGCTCCTCTCTCAGAGGCCACAGCAGCTTCTTTACGCAGAAGGCGGCTGATCTTGTTTAGCTGCTAACTGCTACTAGCTACTTTTTAAATCTCCTGCAACATATCGGGGTGCCCCTTATCCCGTCCTGCCGACTCTCCCGTTCATACAGACATTGATTTGGCGCTGTGACTCGTCTGACTCCTGTGTTGTGTCCAAGACTGTTTCCCCTGACCCAGACCCTGAGCCCTTAAGGTGCGGACACACCAAACCGACATCAAAGAACTAGCAGCGACGAAAGCCAGCTGTTGCGTCGTCTACGTCGCCTCACGTCGCCCTGTGTCAGTTGCATTTGAACACACTACACGGACTACATCCGACGGCCAAGAAGCACGTACGTTCTGCACCTGCGTGAGAGAGAGCAGAGTGAGAGAGTGGTACATCCTGTCAGCCGAGGGGTTTCCTATCTGTGCAGCCGAGCACCGCAGCACCTCCACGGACTATTACATCCAGACGGTCCCGGTGTTTCCTCCGCAGGCTCCACTTCACTCAGCTGCCCGATAAACCCGCTGCTTCTTCCCACTTTAACCTGAATAACAAACCAGGGCTCGGTGCTCCGGTTGGATCCAAACGGAGAGCTGGGGCTAGCTCAGAGACTAGCGGAGGCTAACTGGCTGTGCTTCCCTCTGGTCATGCTGCTGCTAACGCTCCGCTAGCCGCTCCCAGCTAGCTCCGGTTTGTTATTCAGGTTAAAGTGTGAAGAAGCAGCGGGTCTGTGGGGCAGCTGAGTGAAGTGGAGCCTGAGGAGGAAGCACCGGTTAGCCCCGGTTTCACTACAGGCAGATTCACTCGCTACAGGGGCGAGGAAATAAAACCTGAACAGCCAATCAGAGTGATCTCTCTCACCGACAAGCTCTGCCACCGATTCAACATGCTCAATCGGCCGAAAAGCCGCCGACGCCGAAGTGCTGACGGTGTGGGACACACCGCAAAAACTAGGCAGAGAAACGCTCACCGACGGTCTGACTTTGATCGACGGCCCAACGTCTGCTTGGTGTGTCATTGCCTTAACGCTGTTTTCACACCGCCGCACCTTAACTTGCCGCAGACGACAATTTCAATGCAGGTCTTGTTGCGAATCTTCGGTCTGAGCTGGGCTTTATAATGTTTACAATGAATATGCTCTGTTCTGTCAACACTGGATTGTGTTGCTAACATGCTAACTGGCTAGCGAGACCGTCTCCCTGCTTCCGTTTTTGAATGACGATTACAGATGACCGCCGCAGACTGTACCTCAGGGTTCCAACAAATTTTCATGGACAGAATTTCAAACGTTTTCCGTCACTTTTCAAGGACCAATACAGAACAAAATTTCTTGCCGAACTTCTCTAGCTAGCTGCTGTACACGTAGAGACAGAACGCGGGGAGCGAATGAAGAAACGTACGCGACGGTGAACAAAACGCTGTCAAACATCGACACATATTAGAGATACTCTACGTCAACAGCTAATTCACATATTAGCCTATCTATGGAAGATTACAGCAGTAATTTTATAACACGCAACAAAATTCCAAAACTTTTTCAAGGCCTAGAAAGGGCGACTGTGATATTCCATAACTTTCCCAAATGTTTCGTAACCGTGGGAATTCTGCTATTTGCTGGTTGGCTGTTAGCTGCAGTCTTTGCAGTGCGTTCAAGTGCAACTTTTTGGCCAAGACACAGCAACATGAGGCGACATGACAGCGGGCTTTCGTTGCTGCTCATTCCCTGACGTCAGGTTGGTGTGTCCGGGCCTTAAAGGGGGGTACAGACAGTGAGGAAGGGATCAGTCCTGCAGTGTCAATATGTTAAACCAGCTAGGTGACGTTTAATACAGAGCTTGTGTTTGCTCGCAGGATCCTGTGATCCTCTGCTGACTTTAAAGATGTGTATCTCCACAATAGCTGGGCTGATTTCAACCATTCAAACTGCATTTGAGACGTTCATGTCCGTGACATTTTTCACAGCTGAACTGAGAAGACAACTTTTAGTAATCTCTGACAATGTTGGTTTGTATTAAAAGTCAACACGAGGCTAGACATGGACCCTGGGAGCACACACACCTTCCTTTACTTTACCTTGGCTGCTCTTGAAATAAATATGTATATGAAAGTTTTCCTTGGACACAGACCAACACAGAGCCACTTCCTTAAAGTGTGCTCCAGAGACGGACTCCAGCAGCTGGAGGACAGCACCGTACACTCACGTTTCACCGGCTGGGGGTTGGATTGTTTCCTCCGCGGCATCTTCGCCTCTCGTCGCCAGGGATCCTGCTCTGCTTGTGGGGCGACACCGCTCACACGGCGGGCTCAAGTCCGTCCGTCGGTCCGTCTGTCCGTCCGTCCGCCAGCCAGGCAGCCAGCTAACTGCATGTCATCATCATCATCGCCTCCTTCCTCTTCCTCTTCCTCCGAAGGACAGTAGCAGCGGCGGTGTCATCGCTACCAGCTACTGCCTGAAACGGAGCGACAGCAGCACTTTAAAACCCGCTTAACCTTCATTTAAATTAATTAAATCACAAACTAAATCTCATCCTCGAGGCAGCGTCATGCTAAATAACATCAAACACACGCCTGTCACTTTAAACTAAACCCCGTGAGTCATTATTTGTTATTGTTCCGCAGTAAATAGACGCAGCCATCTTGTTAGCCACCTAGCTAGGTCACCTACTCAACTTCAACATTCACGATTTAATCGATAAAACTACAAATTCTGAATTAAAAACACACCTGTAAATATCGCGCCGCTGTTGAACACACCTGTGATGACGTCCCCACACACACTGCCGTCCACAAAACGTCGCTAACTGCTTCAAAAACGAGTCTTTTGTTGCCAAACGCGTCGCTGACAGAGGTACGCCGGGTCCGGGCTCCGTGTGACGTCAGGGGCAGGCGCAGAGGATTGTGGGAGTCGTAGTCCTTATATGACGTCTCATCAATAACAACACACGTCCTGTTTATTTATTATTTATATAAACTGCTTCATTATCTTATTTTTTATGTCTTTATTTAATAAATAGAAATAAAAAACAAATTAATGAATACAAAAAATAAATTACTAAATTTAAATTATGAAATAAAAATCATTAGAAATTATTGTATGCTAGTAGAACTAAGTACATACACCCAAGTGGTCTACCAAGTACAATTTTGAGGCACCTTATATAGTACTTGAATAAGAAGTATTTAGTTCCTTTTCATTAAGAAAAAGTACTGTTAACACACTGTAAAAAAATAAATAAATAAATAGAAATAAAAAAAACTCTATTAAAAGTCCAGCATTAAAAATGTTATTTAAGAAAAAATATGATAACACACTGTAAAAATGAAATAAAATAACATAAAAACAAATAAAATAAATAAAAGGAATCCTGCATCAAAAATGTTACTTAAGAAAAATAAATAAGTATGATCAGGAAAATGTACTTAAAGTATGAAAAGTAAAATTACCCAATGCAGAAAAGTGTAAATAATAATAATAATAATAATAATAAAGGAAATAGGAAAATAACAAAAAAAAAAATCAAAATTCTAAAAAAAAGAAAAAAGAAAAGAAAATGTGTTTAATGTTTATCAGAATAGTTGCCAATTAATGTTTTGTCAATCAGATTAATTGACTAATCATTTCATCTGCTTGTATAAACTGTTTGTTTGCAGCAAAACATCAGATTTGATAAACTCTACTTATGTTCTTTTATGTAAAAATCTTCATTTCTAAATCAACCAGTAGCGTAAGCTAGCAGATAAATGTACAGCAGTAAAAAATAAAAATAAAATACAATATGTCTCTCTGAAATGTGGAGTGGAGTAACAGTATAAAGTAGCATGAAAAGAAAATCTGGCTCGTAGTCCGTTCATCGGGTCTCATCAGGAACCACACATGTCCCATATTTATTTTATTTATATAACTTGCTCCAGGAAAAATGCCTTTTTTGCAATTCTAATAATATAATCTTTTATTTTCTATCTCTTTTTATATAACGTAAAACATATATACATTTCATGTATTACTAAAACATATTTAATAAAAAATATTAAAAATATTGTATAACAGTAGAACTGAGTATGTTTACCCAAGTACTCTACTAAGTATAATTTTGAGGTACTTTCCTTGAGTACTTATTTTTTGCTACTTTATATAAAATACTCTAAAATTAAAGTCCTGCACTGAAAAGTATACTCAGGAGAATGTTCTTAAAGTCTGAAAAGTAAAAGTGCCCAATACAGGAAATGTTTATCAGAATAGTTTTCTGTCAATAATCTCATTGATTTATTAATTTTAGGTAGTTTAATTTATAACAAAACATCAGATTTTATGAACTTGCCTTATGTTTTTATGCAAAACTTTATTTGTAAAATAACTAAGAACTTAAACTTGCTTAAAATGGCATGAAAAGAAAATATTCAAAGTAAAAGTACCTCAAATTTGTACTTCTGTTCAGTACTTGAATAAGTGTACATATGAACACTGTGAATACTTTACTTGTGTATTTTTTCCACATTATAATAATAACTTGGCCATGTACCTTTTTTCTGTTGTCACATGTTCCAATAAAGTTTGAAGGAAAAAAAAAAAAGAAGTAGTTTTGTGGCCATTGAGATGCTCCCTATAAAGTAATGTTTTTGTTTGTTTGGTTAGTTATAAAAATCTCCACATTATTCATTAAAGCATTAAATATGATAGTATAGGTAAATATCATAAAACAAAATAGAATTATAATATCATAATACAAGAATAATATGAAAACGGGTCATATTTGAATGATATAAAAATAACAAAAATGTATTATAATAGTACAAAAACTTAAAAAAAAAACAGTTGTAAACATTTAGAAACTAACACAAGTATTGTTATTAATAATAACTCAACTCTATTAGTGTAGGGGTATTCAGAGAAATAACATACACAAAACTACAATCTGTATGGTGCCTTTTAAGTTTGTTTATTGTAATTAAATTCAATAATAAATATAAACAAATAGTGATGATCAGACAGTGAAGTTTACATTAACTAGAAACACATCAGTCAGCTATACATGTATCAGTCACATCTATTTCAGAACCAAAATTATGTTGCTTAGTGTATCTGTTTGATTTCTAGGACTTTACAGATATGTGAAGTTATAATGATATTTTAAATGATATTTGTTCTTGCAGTTTAATCAGTATTTACATTTGCAAAATGCTAACATCTACATCAGATAGGTCTGGGTTAATGTACCACAATACCACAAGGCTCTATCCTGGGTCTTCTACTTTTCTCTATATGTTACCACTTGGGGTTGCATCCAAGATTCCAAAAAAATCCAACAGAACGAAACACTCTGACAATATTTAGGGTTTAATCACACGTCCACCATGGCCTCAAACCTATATGTCACTGTTAGCTGTGACCTCAAATCTGTGGTCTTTTGGTGCTACGTTAACAAATTAAAACTTTATTTATTTAGCACCTTTAACAGACAAAATTGGAAAAGATACAGATCGGACAATTTTTATGGCGTAACACAAGGCTCTGTCCTGGGTCCCCTACTTTTCTCTGTATGTTACCATGAGTGGTTGCATCCAACATCCCCAAAAGCCCCTTGTGGTGCTATATAAACAAATTTAAACTTTATCTATTCAGCACCTTTCAAACACAAAATTGGAAAAAAAGACCAGACATTTGATATGGTGGACCACAAGGCTCTATCCTGGGTCCACTACTTTTCTCTATATGTAACCACTCAGGATTGCATCGTACATCCCAAAAATCCAACAGAACAAAACACTTTGAGGATATTAAATTTAGTTAGTTGACTGAGACCTCAAACCCATGGCCTTTTGGTGCTACATAAACAAACTTAAACTTTATTTATTTAGCAAACAATTTAGAAAAATTATAGACCGCACATTCAGTATGGTGTACCACAAGGCTCTATCCTGGGTCCAGTACTTTTCTTTATATGTTACCGCGAGGGGTTGCACCCCACAAATCCAACAGAACCAAACACTCAATATTTCAATCACGAGTCCATCATGGCCTCAAACTCATCAATCCTCTGTCGGGTGTTTCCTCTCCGGATCCTCCTGTAGGACACGGTTTTGTACTTTGAGGATTGTCGGCTGCCGTTCTTGTCGTTCGCCTCACCGTTCATATTGTGAGAGGTTTGACCTCCTTCTTCTTTGTCCCCTTTGTCCCCCTTCACTTTCATCTCGGGGTTTTCTGTGCTGGATGAGTTTCGGGTCGGACTGAGCTCTTCACTGTCTTGTCCAGCCACTAACGACGGCTCGGCAGCTGCATCCATCAACAACACTTTCTCCTCCGACCTGCAGCCTGATGCCAGACAGAAGAAAGTATTATCTGTGACTTTTTGTTTAATTAAGATACTTCGTAAAGGTTAAAGCATGCTATGAGGTGATTTAATTGGCTCTGTGGAGCTTTTTATTTTCCATTATTGTTTGCTTTTGGCAGAGTGAGTGTCATCTTTGTGGAATTTTAATTAGATTTTAATGAATGAATTAACTCTCTGGCCTGAATCTCCGCTGTGAGTAATTGTGTTTCCAGCCAATCATAGCTGCAGTTATGTAAGGTCCTCTGCAAACTCTAAAACAAAGTGAAAACAATTAACAAAACAACTTCCAGCAGAATATTAAAACACTTACTGCAACAAATAACTCAAAGTTTAGGAGTTAAAACTAAAGAAAAGCAGTCAGGAAAACTGTGACGTTAATCCAAATTTCTAATCATGCATTTAGAGGGGACTTACATGAGTTTCTCTTTTTTGTAATTTCTATTCTGTAAATCTTTTAATTTGTAAAGAAGTGTAATTAAACTTCAACTTGCTATATAAATAGAATTATTATTATTATTATTATTATTATTATTATTATTATTTCCTTTTATACAGATCACCTATTGAGGGTTTATCTTGTACTTTTCAACTGAAGAAAACTGATCTTAAAATTACAGATTATTTTAATTTATTTGAGTGAATTTATCTTTTCTATTAAAACTTTCTCATGTAATTAGTTTGCCAGTTTCAAGTCAGATTAATTTAAATTTATCACATTCACAATAATTAACAGCATATCATAAATCAAATGTTAGGAACTTGAGTTTTTGAAATAATAAACATGAAAAAAATAAAAAAAATCTTACATAAATTTGGCTGAACTTAATTTCTTAAATTTGTCAGACTTTTTGACTTATTTTAAGATTCACTAAATCTAGACTTCCTTTTTTTTTTAAATACAGCTCTTCCAATTTGGGTTAATCTAAAGAAAACTGATTTCAAATTAACAGATTATGTCAGTTTATTTGAGTCAACTTATTTTTTCTATTAAAAAAAACCCTCATGTAACTAGTTTGCCAGTTTCAGGTCAGATCAACTTAAATTTATCATATTTAGATTCATTTATAACTTATAATCAAAAATTGAACGTTAGGAACTTGAATTATTGAATGATTAAACATGATATTAATCCTAACTTGCATTTGGCTGCACTTCATTTCATATCGTCACACATATTTCACTTAAATTTGAAATGACTAAATTTAAAAACAACTCCTGTTCAGTAAAAGTTAAGTAATATTTTAAGGCACCTAAATAATTACGTTGAAACGACTGTTTTTGTGGGGCGATTTTTATAAAATCAAACTCATTCTTAGTCTGCATTTTTCATCAGTAGCCGTATTTACATTCTTTAGTTTCGTCCTTAAATGGTAGCTCTCATTGTTAGTGGCGGGGTCTGCCACTCCTTCCAGTCTTTACGATCATAACTGTAACAGCAGGAGTGTAAGAATCTAGCTTGTGGTTACCTGTGTGTAGTTCAGGTGTACTCTCTCGGGTGCTGTCGTCAGCTGCTGTTTCACCTCGATGTCCTGAATCAGGAAATGATGTCAGTCGCTCCTGTTCCTCCAGATTCTGTATTCCCACCTCTGTCAGATCCAGAGGAGCATCGACAGACTGGTTCAGGTCTGAGTGGGTCAGAGGAGCAGCTTGTGGTGGAGCTTCCTCTGTCTCGTTGTCGTTGCTCGGTGATGTGGGATAAATGTCCCCGTTCTGGTTCTTGGCAGCGCCTGAGTCTTTCTCTTCTTCTGTGGGAGCTTCGTTTGGTATTTGTGCTCCAGCATGACTCAGCGTTTCAGGACACTGTGATTGATGGAGCTGGTTGGTTGGCTCAGTGTTTGGCTCCTTTGTCAACTCTCTTTCTTCTTCTGCATTTACTTCTTGGTCAACTGAGGCCACCATTTCTTCTTCTTTTCCGTCGACTTTTTGCTCTTCTTCGTTCTCTGTGACTTCGTCGACTTTTTCCTTCATCTCTCCTTCTTTTCCACCGATCTGTTGTTTCCCTTGCTCTTGTTTCTTTGCCTCCGTTTCTCGGTTTTCCTCCATCTCTTCTTCTTTTCCATCAACCTTTTGCTCTTCTTCCATCTCAAATTTGTTGACTTTTTCCTGCAACTCTTCTTTTACATCAACTTGTTTTTCTCGTTCTTGGTGCTTTGCCTCCTTTTCTTCTTTTTCCGTCATTTCTTCTTCTTTTCCACCAATCTGTTCTTCTGTTTGTTTCTTTGTCCCAGCTTCTTCGACTTCTTCTAGATCTTCTTTTTCATCAGTCTGTTCTTGTTCTTGTTTTTCTGCCTCATTTTGTTCGTCATCTTGTTTCTTTGCCTCAGTTTCTTCGATTTCTTCTAGATCCTTTCCTTTTCCATCCACCTTTTGTTCTTCTTGTTTCTCTGCCTCCTTTTCTTCTTTGTCCTTCATCTCTTCCTCTTTTCTATCGCCCTGTTGCTCTTCTTCGCTCTCTGCAACTTCATCATTTCTCCCCAGCTCTTCCTCTTCTTTAAATTCAACCTTTTGTGTTTCACGTTCTTGTTTCTTCACCTCCTTTTCTTCTTTTTCTGTCATCTCTACTTCTTTTCCACCAATCTGTTCTTGTTCTTCTTGTTTCTTTGCCTCAGTTTCTTCGTTCTTCTCCATCTCTTCATTTCCATCCAACTTCTGTTTTTCACTCTCTGCATCTTCTTTGAGTTCATCCTCCAACTCTTCTTCTTTTCCATCAGCATTTTCTTTGTTCTCTGCAACTTCGTTGACCGTTTCCTCTAACTCTTCGTCTTTTACATCGACCTTGTGTTCTTCGTTCTTTGTCTCTTCTTCAACTTTATTGTCCAACTCTCCTTGTTTTCCATTAGCCCTCTGATCTTCTTTGCTCTCTGCAACTTTGTCAACTTTTTCCTCCAAATCCTCTCCTTTTCCGTCAACCTTTTGTTCTTCTTCTTCCTGTTTCTTTACCTCCTTTTCTTTGTTTTCCTCCATCTTTTCTTTTCCACAGAGCTTTTGTTCTTCTTCATTCTCTGCCACTTCGACTTTGTCCTCCAGCTCTCCTTCTTTTCCGTCTTTGTTCACTGCAACTTCGTCGACTGTCTCCTCTGACGTTTCATCTTTTCCATCAACCTTCTGTTTTTCTTGTTCTTGTTTCTTATCCACCTTTTCTTCTTTTTCCGCCATCTCTTCTTCTTTTTCATCAGTCTGTTCTTTTTGTTTCTTTGCCTCAACTCCCTCGTTTTCCTTCATCTCTTCTTTTCTATCAACCTGTTCTTCCTCTTTGTTCTCTGCAGTTTCGTTGACTTTTTCCTCCAACTCTTTGTCTTTTAAATCAACCTGTTTTTCTTGGTCTTGTTTCTCTGCCTCCTTTTCTTCTTTGTCCTTCATCTCATCTTCTTTTCCATCAGCCTTTTGTTCTTTATTCTCCACCTCTTTATCCTCCAAATCTTCTTTTCCATTAACCCTTTGCTCCACTTCATTCTCTGCAACTTCATTGACTTTTTCCTCCACTTCTTCTCTTTCCCCAATCTGTTCTTCTTCTTGTTTCTTTGCCCCAGTTTCTTCATCTTCTGTCATCTCTTCCTCCTTTCCATTAACCTTTTGTTCTTCATTCTCCGCCACCTCTTCGACTTTATCGTCCATCTCGTCTTCTTTTCCATTAGTCTTTTGTTCTTCTTGTTCTTGTTTCTCTGGCTCTTCTTTGACATTTTTCTCTACTTCCTCTTCTTCTACATCAACCCTTTGTTCTTTGTGAACCGCATTATCTCCTTTTTCCTCGATCTCTTCTTCTTTTTCATCAACATTTTGTTCTTCTTGTTCTCTCTCTTTCTCTGTCTCTTCTTCTCCTTTTCCGTCCATTTTGTCTTCTTTTACATCACTCTGCTCTTTGTTTTCCTCCATCTCTTCTCCTCCCTCATTTTCTTCTTTTGTCCCATCAACCTTTTGTTCTTCTAGTTTCCTCTCCTTTTCTTCATCTTCGTGTCCTTTCATCTCCGACCCCCTGCTTTGTTTTGTCCTTTCATCATCTACCTCGTCTTTCTCTACTCTGTCATCCTCTTCCATAACCTCCTTTTCCTCTGTCCCTACTCCCTCTTCCTCCTTCCGCTCTTCTCTTTCTTTAACATCATCTTCATCACAGCTCTTCTCTTTCTCGCTACTTTTGTCCTTTTCTTCGTCTTGAGTCTTTCGCTCTATCTCTACCTGCTTTTCATCTTCCTCTTCTTCCTTTATCTCCCTTTGTTCTTCACTTTCTTTATCTACCTCCTCTCGATCATCCTCTCTTCCCTCCTCCAAAACCTCCTTTCCTTCTTCCTCCTGAGACTTCAGCTCTTTGTCTCCATCTTTTGCTTCCTTGTACTTTTCTCCCTCCTCGTCTACCTCCTCCCCCTTTTCTTTCTCTTCATCTTTTATAGGCTCCTTTTCTTCTTCTCCTAGTTCGTCTTTTTTATCCCGTGGTACCTCTTCTTTGTCCTTTCTTTCTGTCTCTTCCCTTGCTCCCTCCTCTACCTCTACCCTCTGTCGTTCGTTCCTAACCTCGCCATCGTCCTCTTTTACACTGCCTACACCTTCGTCTGTCTCCTCCTCCTTAATCTTGTCCTTGTCTTCTTGCTCTTCTTCTACCTCATTTTCAAACACCCGCTCTTTCTTTCCTTCCTGTTTCTCGTCCTCTACCTCATGTCCTTTCTCCTCCATTGCTTCCTTTTCTTTTTGTCCTACCTCACCTCCATTTTTTACTTTCTTCTCGTCCTCTTTTTCTTTCTTGTGTACCTCTACTTCCTCCAGTTCCTCCTCCATGTTCACCTTTTCTTCAATCCTCTCCACGTCCGCCACCTTCTGTTTTCCTCCTTCCCTCCGCACCTTCTGCTCTTCGTCTTCCTCCATCATCACTTCATCTTCTTCCTTCCTGTCCCCTCCTTCTCGGACACTTCCCTCCTCCCCTGACGCTGTCCCTTCAGCACCGTCAGCCCCGTCCTCACTCTGGCCTTCGGACAACATCGTGTCCTCCAGTGACAGAATATCTCCGAACAGACCGACCGCCTGAATCACCCGAGACACTATCGAGTTCTCCTCCAGGTCCAGGCCGTCCGATGTGTCTGCAGCCGTCCACCAGCTCGCCATGATGCAGGAGAAAACCAGCTGAGGTCCCACACGGGCTCAGACCACTTGTCCGTGTTATGAAAGCATTCACACTCACTCGCAGAGGATTTGATTAATGCTGACTGGCAGCACACGTCATTTCACAATCCACAGTCTGGTGACCTGAAGGCCACGTTTTCTGCCTCGGGTTTGTAAGACTTTAATCTTTCAGGTATGATCTCCCCCTCTCTGCTTTACTGGGCTCCTCCAGCCAGAGGTGACGAATGATTCAGACTCTTATTTAAAGCAAAAGTACAAACAACACCATGTAAAAATAAAAAGAACAGATATATTATCAGCAAAAAGATGTACTTAAAATCAGCCTTGGTTGCGCCAATGTGATGCAATCGGTCTTCGAAGCACCCGGAGGAAACCCACGCTGGCACGGGGAGAACATGTCAGAGCACCTGGAGGAAACCCACGCTGACACGGGGAGAACATGTCGGAGCACCTGGAGGAAACCCACGCTGACACAGGGAGAACATGTCGGAGCACCTGGAGGAAACCCACGCTGCCGCAGGGAGAACATGTCAGAGCACCTGGAGGAAACCCACGCTGACACAGGGAGAACATGTCAGAGCACCTGGAGGAAACCCACGCTGACACAGGGAGAACATGTCAGAGCACCTGGAGGAAACCCACGCTGACACAGGGAGAACATGTCAGAGCACCTGGAGGAAACCCACGCTGACACAGGGAGAACATGTCAGAGCACCTGGAGGAAACCCACGCTGACACAGGGAGAACATGTCAGAGCACCTGGAGGAAACCCACGCTGACACAGGGAGAACATGTCAGAGCACCTGGAGGAAACCCACGCTGACACAGGGAGAACATGTCAGAGCACCTGGAGGAAACCCACGCTGACACAGGGAGAACATGTCAGAGCACCTGGAGGAAACCCACGCTGACACAGGGAGAACATGTCAGAGCACCTGGAGGAAACCCACGCTGACACAGGGAGAACATGTCAGAGCACCTGGAGGAAACCCACGCTGACACAGGGAGAACATGTCAGAGCACCTGGAGGAAACCCACGCTGACACAGGGAGAACATGTCAGAGCACCTGGAGGAAACCCACGCTGACACAGGGAGAACATGTCAGAGCACCTGGAGGAAACCCACGCTGACACAGGGAGAACATGTCAGAGCACCTGGAGGAAACCCACGCTGACACAGGGAGAACATGTCGGAGATTTACTGAATGTACTTATATATATACTGAATGAGTCAAATAAAATCTGCTCGAGAACAATCTTTTGCAGCTTGTTTTGTTGTGTTCTTTTGTTTCCTTCCTCTCCTCCAAACTCTTCTTTGAGCCTGAAGATCAACATTCCCACAGAGTTTATCCAGCGGTGGTATGTAAAGCTTCACAGTAAGCTGTAGTGAGTGTTACGCTCTCACATGGAGTCACATTGTGTCTCCATTTCCTATCTTTACTGCAGCACTCAGCCACGTTTTTGCCCAAATAAACCAATTTCCTGGAGGGAAATATGATTTATAGTTAAAGACAAAAGCAGATCATTTGAATGACGCAGATCTTTAAGTGTTGTTTAGTCGATAATTATCTGTAAATCATTTTTATATCTCTGAGAAGACACCAGGAGCACTTCCCCCAGAGTCCTGAAGATGGTGGTAGAACGTTTCCTAAGTCAGATATCAGTGTCCTGCAGAGTCATGAGGGAACAGCACACTGGCATTTCATAACCATCGAACCAAAACAGGAATCATTCTTCCAGGAAGTGCTCCTGTCGGCGTCTTATACAAGAAAGAAATAGAGGTCAAGTGGTCAAAGTGGCACAAATAAAAACAGACTGCCTTACACAACCTCCAGCTGCACGTAGAGATATTGTGGGCTCTATTACAAACACTTCATCTCTGCCTGGACATGTAACGCAGAAACAAGATCAAATTAGAGCTCCAGTGTGTCAGATTTAGTGGCATCTACAGATTGCAACAAGACGAAACTGATCCCGGTTAGAATTTATTGTTTAGGAGGTTTACTGAACAAGCCTTTTCATCTCCAAAACAAAAAGGGCTTGAAATGTGTCACCTTCTACGCATAAATTGGGATTCATAAAGAAAAACGTGACAAGGAAATGGACATAAATTTGGGAAAACCCTTTCAGTTATAATATTACAATTACTCCAAAACCAAACAACTCGTTTCAACGTTACTTTTGTTATCACATCACTACTGACTTGAAATCCAATTTTTGCAATCGTCGTGCTGTGCAGACACGTCATAAAGCAGCAAGCTAGTTGGAAATGCTAACGCTAAGCAGCTGGAAACATTCCCATTACTTTGATTTTGTCAAGAGGAAAGATGACAAGAACACTTGCTGCAGGAAGTTAGACTAAACCGCCGGTCTGAAACACTAATATGACCGACAACATGACAACGTGACACTCCAGGAAATACGCCCTACCCAAGGCCATGGAGGTCGGCTGTAGCGCTACGCTGGCTAAACAGCCAAAGCTGGAATTTTAATCATGGACAGCTGCAGACACAGAGAAGTGATGAAGCTTGTGGATGGATATGTGGTGACTCTCCATCTTTCAGGTCGAGCCTCGGGGAAATACCAGTCACAGGTCGCAGAGAAACCGCAGGTAAAAAAAGAATTATGAATATGTCATTTATTTGGATGAATGTCTCCACGAGTTTTTAATCATACAAGCATGAAAAAAAATATTGACAGGAACCTCATAATCTCCGCTAGCTTCTAGGCTAATTTATACAATGTAAAATGCCATAGGCTTGTGCTAATAACGTTAGCATGTTGTATTTGTTTGGAAACATGTTTAGTATAAGACAGTTGTTTTGTCAGTGAACCTTGTGAGTTGTAATGGAGCTGAATTTTTGTAACGTTACCTTTGTTAAATGTTGCTGTTGTCCCTGGCTTCATATGAGTAGAGGAAAAGTCCGCTAGCTGCTAGGCTAATTTATACAATGTAAAATGCCATAGACTTGTGCTAATAATGTTAGCATGTTGTATTTGTGGGGAAAATGTGTCCAGATAAAGACAAGTGTTTGTCTGTGAATGCTGCGAGTTATAGTGAAGCTGATTTGTGTACTTGTGTTTGAAATTGACTCTATTAAGCCATGTTTAATGTGTGTTTAATGTGTTTTTAGAATCAACTAAACTTTACAGCACTTCACAGAAACCTTCGCCCCCAACTAGTGTTTTGGAAGTGTAACTGCAGAGTGACATAGACACACCACCGCACAAGTATAAATGCTCACAATAGAGTGTGCCAGTAAACCCGGAACTCCGTTAGCGCTTTTAGCACTTCCGGTTCTCTCGTCTAAAAGTCAATACGTTTTTTGAATGGGATTTTGGTAAAATGCCTCAAATAAGGTCTGTGGTTAACAAAAGCTTAAGCGAGTTTCAGGTTTTGTTCTACAACATAAAACACATCAGTAAATACCCTACTTGTGAATGTTGATGCTTTTACGTGTCATAAAAAAGGCGGTTGCTAACAAGATGCTCAATACGACTACAAACCCTGTCAGGGACATTAAACGTCATCACCCCCGAACAGGCGAGAGTGCTGGCAGTCCGCCATTACAGCTTCTTATTTAGCTTAAACAGTCCGATTTCCCCATTATACAATGTTTTTAAAATAAAGCAGCCGAAATCAGTTGAAAGCTTAGTGGCGGTGACGTCAAGAGTCATGCGACCGTGGAGTAGTCATGTAGTCCGTTAAAGCCTAACGTTAGCTTTTTACTTCTGGCGATCGCATTTAAGCTTCAAATGCGGCATGAAAGGTGTTCATATGTGAAGATTATCTCGCTGAACAAAATCTGTAAGTATCATAAACTTGTGTTAGCCGCAGAGCTTATTTTCTGACATAATCCAAAACGCAATGCAAAAATCACATTCACTTTCTCTTCCGGGAACCAGCGCGATGCTAAACTTCCGGGTTTTGACGTCAGCCCCGGCACACTCTATGGCGTAGGGCACTACTGAGGGT